ATGGGGGTGTTGGGTCGACGGTTGGACTCGATGATCTTAGAGGTCTCTTCCAACCTCAATGATTCTATGACTCTATGACTTATTGCCCGGGTTGTCTGTCCAGCACTCACGCGGCAACGCTGCGGCATCCGGGACGGTCACAGGACGCATCTGGGCAGAAAACACCGGATAAAACCGCGAGAGCCATCAAACAGGGCTCTCGGAAGTATTCCCCGTCCTTATCTCTTCAATCTAAATTTAAATCAAGCAGCTGACATACATATTCTTCGGCGCGCCGTCCCACCTCTCCAGCAGCGGGATCAAGCCGCCCTACTCTCTCCACGCAGGCAGAGCTCCACTTGCGCAGTCCTGCCCGAGAAAGCTTATAAAATTGAGGTTTACCCCGTAAAAACCAGAAGGTAAAGAGCCCGCACAGCTAAAAATCACTGGCGGAGGTTAGAAAGGAGTAGCAGGAGCAGGGGGGGAAAAAAAAAACCCAAACCGAACTTCTAATAGAATAAACCAAGGAGAGTTACCTGCCCGAAGGGTTACTCGGGAGTTGGCGAGGTCAAGGGATTCTTTTTAATTAAAAAACAAAAAGAAATCAACGCAGTTCACCAATATTTGCCTAAAACGGTGCAGGCAGCAGGGCAAGGAGCCCGTTAACCCCTCCCCGTAAGGCCCGGCGGCTTTATCCGCGCAGCGGATTTGTGCCACCCGGATCCCTTCAGCGACGAGAGCGGGCAGCGGGGCCACTCACCGCCCCCCCCCAAAACCCCCCCCCAAAAAAAATAAAGGCTCCAAGACGGGACCGAGGGCATTTCGTCTCCAACCTCCCCGTAGCTGTGCTGGCTTTAAGCCCCGTTCGCGCTCAGAGGGCGCGAAAAGGGATGAAAACAGGTCGGGCTCGTCATAGCCCCGCTGTCAAAGCGGCTCACCCTCGAATTCCCACGCCCCGCAGCGACGGGGAGCAGGAAGGGCCCGAGGGAGAGCGGCGACGGCGGGAGGCCGGACACCGACGGGCAGGAGGGGGCTCTGCCTGCAGAAGGGGGTGTCGCGTCAGGAGCAAAAGGCTGGGGGGAGGAGGGGAAAAGTCAAGAAAAGAAAGAAAAATATCGATCAATTTGAGAGGCGGCGGCGGACTAGGCCGGGTACTGACGATGCACCCGACCGCTTTGCCCTGGAGGCTGTCGTCCTGCCGGCGGGGTCGGGGTGGGTTCGGCCGCTCCGCGGCACCAGGCGTGCTCAGGCCGGAGAGCTGCGGCCGGTTCCGTCCCCGGGAGGAAAGGCCTCCCCGC